TACCATGGCATTGCTACAAGTACGGCTGTATATATTTTTTATCGCGGCAAGTGATGGTGTATAAATATATATATATATATATATATCTATATATATATATAATTGAGTTTGTGGCGGTAACGACGATCCGGTAGTAATTTTCGCGGAAAACAACATATATCTGATCCAGTGTCAAGCAGAAATTTAATTCCTAACTTACGATCAACAACTAGAAGGCGGCTTCCTCCAGTTGGACAGCCGGCTGCCGCCATTACTGACTGCCGGTGGAGTTTGTTGAATTGAAATAACAGGGTTTCGTGCACTTGTTGGCTTGGTCGCCGAATCGTCGATGGTACCAGCAAATAATTGTTGATGAATTTGTGGCTGACGGAGAACGATGTCGATTTTGACGGTAGTTGAAGGGGTGTTACTCCGAGATCGATGGTGGTTCTTGTTTAATTTGTTGTAACCAATTGGCATAACTGAGATCTGTCGGAAAAGTTCGTCCAAACGCTGAGAAATTAGATCTGTACCAGGTGTAATGGAGGCAGCGTGCACTACGGCGGAATTAGAAGCAGTGTTAAAGGTCGTACCAGGCTGAACCTCTATGATCTTGTCCGCTGTAACGGCGAGCGTGTCGGTAGTAAGACCAATTTGACTGATTTGAGGTTGTAATATGGCTTGAACGTGCGCAGGAAGACGTTGCATCCAAATGGTGAGGAGAAGGCTGTCTTGAACAGTGGTACTGCCGAGTAGAGATCGCAAATGACGGAGAAATTGAGAAGGAGTACGGTCACCGAGTTCTTCTTCGACAAGGAGTTGTCGTACACGACGCTCTTCTGAGACGGACAGACGACGTATTATTTCAGTCTTGAGGGTGGTGTATGGATTATCAGCAGGAGGAGTGGTGATCAAATCCTCGACTTCATTTGCGTACCGCTCATCCAAATGCGATATCACATAGGAGTATTTAGTAGACTCCTGAAAGACACGTGTAAGCGTAAATTGTGCTTCAACTTGGGCAAACCAGAGGTTCGGTTTATCCTTCCAAAAAGGAGGTAATTTTACACTCACCCGGTTAACTTCCAATGGCAATGCCGGTTGTTCATTCTGATGATGTTGCTGTTCCTGCATTTGCCGAAGTTGTTGCTGCAGTGCTTCATTGTGGTGCTGGAGTTGTTCCAATTGTGTCTGTAGAAACTCCCATGGTTCGTGCAATATATCCGTAAGGAAAATCTTTCACCAAATACGACAGGTAAAAGTCACCGTGACACGCACAAATATAAAAAATATATGAACTACACAAACATAATGCGAATCACGTCGGGGTCACCAATGCGTACTGGGGAAACACACTGGCCAACATGAATTCTGATGATCCATCACCTAACCAGCCTAAACGTTCAGCCGCTTGGATTGCGTTGTGTGTGGTTTCCAGCAGCTTGGTGGCAGTAGGATCCAAGGCCACTTGGCCCGTGCTTCCCGCCACTGATAGGCTGGAATCCACTACATACACATGGGCAGCGCGTGGAGCCTAATATTGTGGTAGGGAGATGGTTGTGTTTTGGCTAGCAGCCGCGGATGGTGATCGACGAGGTTGACGGTAATCACTCACTCCAGGCCGGCTGACGATGGCCCGGGCCCATGGATGCTCAAGCGGCCCGACGCGAAGTGGCTTTGCATGAGTGCAACCAATCGGTTGTGTAGTAAATAGACCTGGGCCGGCGTTAGAGTGCGCGGGGTGTGCACCGCCCCTAGATAGGCTAGACCCCCCGCACTCCTCAAGCTAAAGCGTATTGCCCAAGCGGGGCCAGCGAGCAATACGCTTAGAGAGGGATCGAAGCTTCTGCCGCGTCAGTGATGACGGGCGGTAGCCCGGGTATAGGAGGGGGAATAGCGAGCCCTGGAGGGGCTTCGAAGTCTATGGTATCCATCGACAGGGAGGACGCCATGGAGTATAGGCCAAAGGACAGCCCGGCTGTTTAGAGTTGCTTTCCTTTGACCAGGCGTAGCGCCATACGATTATTGGCAGCCAATTCATTCCCAACTAATGCTGGGGCCATGATGACTGAAAGGTCGGCGTCATATGTCATCACATAACATGGCTGGAATGTCGCCAGGGCCTGAACCTGTGGCGCTAACGAAGTAACCAGAGTGATGACGTAACCAAGGAGAGGAGAGAATAATAAACAACAGTAATTTTGTAACGTTTGGAAATAAAAAACTTTTCTACTTTTAACATTTAGTGGTCTACGAATATTTCTTTAGTATTCGCTAAAACCCACATTGGTGAGTTCATGCAAAATACCTGGAACAAATATGGCCGTTGATTCAAACAATTTGAATGGAATTATGGTACTACCAGAAATCAACAAATCTTATTTCATTTCAATTTCAATGTTTTTTACATCTACAATTTTACCTCTTACAACTTACACATTGCTTGTTCAGCAGTTTTTTCTTTGGGTTTGTTCGCTTTTTCCTTTTGAGTGAACAGTGCTAATCGTGGCAGTCTCCTTCTCTGTCGATTCACATAGTTTGACTGCTTTCTTAAAGCTCCATGAGGAAGTTTTCGAACCCTTGTCCTACTTGCTGACTAATGTTGTTGAATACGTATCTATGGAAAATCGACACTTTTCTTGGACGTGCAGTATTCTTCGACTTTCTTTATTAAGGTTTTCACCTCGTCCTTACTTTCTTCTTCGCTGTATTCGAAATTGTTGTACACGTCTAGTCCTTCGTCTCCATTTGCGCTTAGTAGGATTGCTATTTTCTTCCTTTTCTGTGGTTTTCTCATCACAAGTGGCGTCTATAAATAATTCATGACGTGAAGCCCCCCAGGCGACAACGGCACGAACTTGCCTAAGTGGCAGCTCTATATTTTATGGAGGCAGTGGATCGTGGCTACTCGGCTGATAAAATAAACAAAACCGGTGCACACTAAACAGTTTGTACATTTTATTTATAGGTGACAATTAATTGTACTCCGGTATAAACTGCGCAAGTGGATTTAAAATCAAATTTGGCACTACAGATTTGTAGGCTGACTGTACGGACAAAACTAAAACATATAGCTATCGAAATGTTATTTGCGTCCCTGTGAATGATTAAGGGCCCACTCGTTTCAAACACGCTTGGTCCATACCCAGTATACGACAAACATACAAGATCGTAGTCTAAATGAACTATTGGTAGTTCCAATTTAACAAAAATTATTGCTAGCATGAAGTGCGATAGCAATTCTGTTCAAAAAAGCAAGTTGAATTTAATCGGATCGTTCCAACAAGCAATTCAGAACAAGTTCAGAATTGAGTTCAGCAGTATGTATTCACTGCGCAGATTTGAGGTACGCCTAGTTCTGAACATTTCTGTTGGTACACAGAATTACAATTCACGTGTGGTCAACATAACCACAATTAAAACAGCAAGTTTGTGGCATAACCTGCGTGTTTGATTCTGTTCGTTTTATTGTTGATTTGATAAAATGGAAAGTGTGTTCAAAGTATATAACGTAAAAAAATATAAGGAACGTCTATCTTGAAGAGTACATTATTATTCCCGAAGTAACACCATCAGCCACCGCTGTTGTAGAAGAAATACGGTCGACCGAGAACCATACAAGGATGTTAATTGATTTATACCGTAAATATAAGCCTAAGGTGGGCAGCATCAAAATCAAAACCTTGAAACAGATGTGGAAAGTAATTGCTGACGAACTGCAGCAAATGCTGAATGTGATTGTAACACCAACAAGCTGTGAAAATAGGTGGAAAGTATTGGATCGAAATTATAAGAAATATGTTGACAACAATAACGCAACTGGTAGGGGAAGAAAGCACTTTGAATTTGCTGAAGATATGCAAGAACTGTTTGGAGGGAAGAAGAAAGTTCATCCAGAGCTAATCCTCGCCTCTACAGCTGTTCAAGTTCCTGAAGGAGTGATAGAAGAAAAAGGAGAAGAGAAGGAAGAAATCACAGAGCCTGCTGAAACTGAAAAGCGGAGGATTCGGAAGAATGGCAGCACTATCAAAGTAAAACGAAAGAATGTATTGGAGGCGATAAGATATGATCGGAAGAATTATCAAGAAGCTAGGTTGGCAATTGAAACAGAGAAATTATCAGTTTTAAAAGAAAGAAATAAAATTTTGGAACAAAGAAATAAAATCTTGTCAAAATGCACATGTTTTAGAGCAAATGTTGATATTCTAGAATAGAGAAAAACAATTATTAATGATGGGATGCAAGAACGTGATTGTTGTTTTACTGTTTTAGATATATTAAAGCTAGTACATATACACAATACAATGAATGAATCAATTTCGAGCTATCCGTAACGTTGCTACTAATTGATCTCTCACTTGGCGGCCATCTGAATGTGCATCCCCATCTTCATGTGCATCATCATGCAAATTTTGTTGGGGTACCATGGCATCAGGATTCGGATTGTTTTTTCCAAAATCAAAATTGTCACCTAAGCAAATATTATGCAAAACACATGCAGCGCATATGGGATGTACAATATAATTCATATTTCTTAATTTTAAGTGGTATAATTGCCGGAATTTTAGTTTTAGAATACCGAATGTATGTTCAATGATGTAACAGTTCTTAGACAATTGCAGGTTGAAGTTTAACTGTCGCTGGGTTAGCTGGCCTCAGTCCTTAAATGGGACCATGAAATTTGCTGTTAGAGGATATGCGCTATCACCCTAATAAGTAATATCGACCACACATTTCCTGCAAGTTCATGCCCAAGAGTAAATTCCGAAAAACTCTGGCATCATGTACAGAGCCCGGGTATCCGATGGAAATATCCCGAATTTTTCTATTGTGATCACACACTGCCTAAACCTGAAATAAGAAATTCATATTTATAAATCCATTATTTACACCTGTGGACACGTACTTGTGTGGAATAAAATCCCTTCCGGTTTATATAGGAGTCTGGGTCATTTTCGGGTTTATCTAATTTGATGTGGCTACCATCTATCGCACCTATAACACCCGGGAAACCTTTCTATCTAAAATATTCCTTAATTTCTAGTTTTTCTTCTTCATCTGGCCAGACAATGATTTGTGGTGACATATTGCTCAGAAAAACACACTCTTCTCACGATGCAATGCAAGGAACTTATGGTTACATCAAAATAATTTGAATAATGGGTCAAAAGCTTTTGAAACACTGTCATATTGATACTTCAGAGTCTATTACTACATAAATACAACTATATGTATTCACCATTGATGATCCTTGTACCAAAATATACGGTCTGTTTATGTTGAAATGCCTTTTCTTTTTGAGAAGAAATTGATTTTTCAATATCGCCGGGTGCCTACAAATAAAAATTAATACCTGAATTGGTTGATGGTACACCTGTGAGCGACAGCTATACTCGTATAATGGGAGATACTTAAGGCGAGTTGACACGGAGCGTAGTCAACGGTCGTGCAAGTCATGGCCGTAATATCACTACTAGTGTAAACACACGAGTCGCGAAATATGATCGTCTAAAGTGTGACACGACACGAATGAAATCAAACGCGTTTGATTTTTTAAGCGTGAATTTAGTCGTGACGTTGTCATTATCAAAGCAACATGGTCATCATGAGTGCTCCCAGTGCAAGCATTTTAAAATTGAACGATTCGGATACTCTACGTTTTGTAGAATTATAGAGAAGTGAAGCAGTGCTATGGGATCCAACAAAACCAGAATATAAAAAAAAGCATGCCGTTTAGTAGCTGCAAAAAGAATTTAACATCACTGGTTTTACAGAAGTGCAGGTCATAACAAAATTTAAAAACCTTCGCAGTTCCTATTCTCAAGAACTAAAAAAAATCGCCGATTCCAAACACTCTGGCATGTCTGTCGACGAACTGTATGTGCCCAAAGTAATTTGGTTTGCTACGATGCGATGGATGGGTTTTTAAGATCACACGTAAAATCAAGAACAACACAATCAAATTTGGTAAGTTTTTATTATAAAAAACTAGCGAAACGACAATATTAGCATGATAATTAATGTTAGAAAGTGTAATCATCCTCAAAATTTTTCATCAAAGCTCTCGAAGCCAAAAATATATAGGTAATGTCTTTGCTTAGGCACAGATTACTAAATGCCTCAAATGTATTTCAACATTTCAAGTAAACTTGTACTAACTTCATTCTCCACTGCCATGGGACCGCACCGCCATCACTATTAAAGTAGTGGCAATATGTATCTCGTTTCTACGATGCTAATTTGCTAGGATGCCTGTTATGTGTTGATACAAAAATATCTCTCAAACCTTCACTAGTTGTTCCATGCCAGTCTCCTGGGACCATCTCATGATTAACATCTTCATAATCAACCAGCCCGAATGGTACATAAGCACTCCCTGTCTTCCTCAACCAGTTATGTAGTAAAAACGTCTTAAGCGGAAATGCATCATCTCCAATCCAATCACTGCTTCTGCTGGTGTATCAAGCATATTTTTTTCCACAGCTCTAAGCTCTAACTTTGCTGAAAGACTCCTCCATCTGATGCTCTACCTTTTGCTCCTACGTCAATATAAGTAAAGCAATAATCGTGATCAACCAAAGTAAGCAAAATAATACTGAAATCTTGTTTATAATTAAAATAGTCTGAACCAGTTTTTGGAGGTGCTTTCAGAACCACGTGCTTGCCATATATGGCACCGATGCAGTTGGGAAAATTCCATTTGGTTCTAAATCCATTCTCTATATGCAACCATTCGCTTTTTTATTTGGGACCTGAAAATAAATTCCATAATTATTTCAGTACTTATAGGCGGCAGCCACAATTAGGAATAGCTTAATATTTTCCTTGAAATGGATCTACCACGGTAGAGGAATTTCATGGAAAATTTAAAAATTAGTCCAGGTACAACAAAACAGATTTAATACATATTTGTTGTAGGAAGTCTCATCAGAGATGGATGACAGTCAAACTCTAGGACACGATAGTGAAAATATAGTGGATGACGGTCAGAGGATATTTCTCAAAATGGCACACAACAGGAAGTGACAGAAGTTAGCGACGACGTCATGGAAACGTCTTCACATGAAGGCGCCCGAGATCAGCAAGCCACTCGAAAGCTTCAGGTCACTCGTGATAATCAAGTTGGCCGTGATCAGCAAGCTCCTTCATCACGTGGGAAGAGGCCACTATACACGGATGATCTCAACAAAACCCAAAAAAAGGTCGCAAATTCGCTGACGTGTCTAGTAAAGAAGATGCTGTAGCTCTGGCTCTAACCAGGTTAGAGAACATTTCTGAAAGCAGTCTCGCCACTGCGACGAAAGAAGACCCATTGGACTTGTTTGGCAAATACATAGCAGCTCTACTTCGAACCTTGCCAGTTGAAACATCAAGTCGACTACAATAGGAGATACTGGCTCTTGTTCTCGTTAGCCCTACCTGTCAAGAAAGAACGTCTACTTGAACAAGTATAATGTCAACCCCGGCGTATACACCGACTTCAGTATTTTCACCAAATTATATGGACCCTTCAGATGACTTGCCCTGGCCTTCCGACATAGTAACAGCAATGAATATGAATGAATAATAAAATATATCCTACCTTCACGAAGTTTTTCAGTTGATTGTATGTAGCGCCCAAAACTTCTTTCAAAAATGTACTTATAGTAGATTTGGGTATTCTAAATAAATATTCTAAACTTTTAAGGGCCGATTCTACAATGAAGGTATATACCGAGATTATGCTATACCTAGAATAAATGTCGACGGTTGCGTTGGTTACAATTCTGTCAACCAATGAGATACATGTTGCTATGGCAGTTATTCCAAGGATATCTTATTCTGCGTAAAAGTGTAATTGTAAAACCGGCCCTAAAAGAATCTCCTGTGGCCAAATATCGACATTACTTCTAATTTTGTTCTGGTAGGTATAGCTTCTCTGATATTGGTATCGCTTTTTTGTATATGTGGAGCTATACCTTCGAGTAAATATTTGAAACTTTCTTCGGACATTCTTAAAAGATTTTTAAAGTCATCGGGATATGCAGTTCCTTGGTTAGCGAGGACCCACCAGAGTTCCTGTCCAATATCCACTTTCTGGTCCACCACCTCCTTTTCCTTCTTGCTTGTACTTTGTTGTTATTACTCTGTTGTTTTGCTAATTCTGTCGCTAATAACTGACACACAACTAAACAACTCTCTGCTACCAACGACTGCATATTCACGACTAAACACAAAAATCACGGTCGTAATTCACGCTCGATGTCAACCCAGCTTTACGGTGACATGGATAATTATAGATTCTAATACTTCTAGGATTGAGAATTTCCAGTACTTCCGGTTTTCTATTACTACTCTACCCTTTGGATGGCAATAAATTTAACTCATTTCCGGCCAAAATATAAAATACAACACATTTTACTAAATATACTGAACACATATTCAAGGAAAAAAAAACGAAAAAAATGTGCTCTAGGAATGCATTGTTGCGTTAGCGCAGCATTGGCTAAATACGTTTTCTGTGATTGTCACGTTTTTCCAAAACTGAGACACTTCCACCCAATCCTAAGCACCATTTGCTCGTCTATTAATAAATTATGTGAAAAAACTCCAACTGTGTGAATCTTTCATTCATGATGTCGATGAAGGGGTGCAATTTGGAAAATCTATCCTTTTTATCCAACATTCTGTTGTCGCTGAAATGCAAATTTCTTTTTATGTTTCTAAATCTATTTCTGCTCATACTTTGCTTGACAATCTGCACACGCTTGTCCTCTTCAGTTGACCAATATAAATCAGCCTGCGGTAAAGAATGATAACCTGATAACAGCAAGATGCCGATAAAGTTCAGTAAATCTTCTTTAGTAAAATAGAAGTCGTGTCTATTATTTTCATTAGCATATTTGGCGGAAAATTGCACTGAGCAGTGTTGCCAATTTGGTGATTTTGTCACTAGATCTGGTGAATTTCAAGATCAATTTCAGACTTTTTCATCACGATTCAGGTATGTCTAAAACCTAGTGATTTTCAACATACATGTGGAGACTCTCTGGTGATTTAAAGAAAAACCGCAATGCTATATAAATGTGTGAATTTTCGAAATGTTCGCGTTTTTTTCGTACCGGACGCCATCTGTCGGTGTGTAGTGGACTTACAGTGCAGGGCCGACTACAGAACACATAAAAACTGCATCGCGTGGTATGCAGCCAACTTCAGCGTGTCTGTCATCTGTGAATTGTGATCTCTGATCTGTCAAATTGTGACGTAATTATTGTAGAGGTTAATCCAGTTGAGTAAAAGTAAATATTTTCGTTTCATGCTTTTCGTTTCCGTGCTTTGAAATTTGAATCTAAGAGTTGTATTTGCCGTTGCAGAAACGCCAAACACGTTGCGTACCGTAAGATTTTTCAGTGGGAGACTCGAAAGCAGTAAGTACAATGCGATCAAAAATGAGTTGCTGTCGAGTCGCCTTTGGAATTGTTGTTTACATGGGAAATCGTATTTAACTTGAACTTCCAAAGGCGACTCGGCAGCAACTCATTTTTGTCGCTCGTTATAGGTAATCTGAGGATTTCTTACATACATTTTTTTAAATATATTTTTCATATAGGTGCGCTGAAGGTCACTGGCCCTACGATTAGTCGTGCTGTGTAGGCGTTCCATCATCCATGCATCAGTGACACGAAATAAGTAAGTAACGTAAACCTTTAAACTGATTGTGTCCAGTTTACCGACATTTTCACGTATGACGTTCTTATTATGATATGGTCTTTTTTAGTGCCTAAGCATAAGATACCGTACTCCCAGAAATATCGGGAGGAGTGGGAGAAACTGAAAGAGTTCCAAGGCTGGCTACAACGTTGCACAACCGACAACATAAAAGCTTATTGCAAATATTGCAAATGCTTATTGGCTGCCAGGTTTGCCGATCTTCAAAAACATACCAAGACAGATAAGCACATTCAAAATGCGCGGCCTTTTTCTTCTGCTTCTCAGCAAAGAATTCAATTTCAACCTCTAAGTGTCATCAGCAAGCAACAGCGAAAAGAAGCGCAACTCTGTATGTATTCTGCTGTACACACTAGTGTTAGGTCTATTGATCATCTAAGTGACCTCCACAAAGACTATTCCGAAACCATAAAAATTCACCGTACCAAATGCACCCAAATAATTAAGAACGTCATAGGACCCCATTTCCGAAAGGCACTAATTGAGGACATTGGTAACAACCCCTATAGTCTTATCATCGATGAGTCGACTGATATATCGGTTTCAAAAATGCTAGGGATAGTGATACGTTATCACAGCATAAATTTGAATAAAATAGTGACAACGCATCTTGAACTGGCGCATATCGAAGATGGTACAGCAAAATGCATTACAGAGACTGTGAAACAGGTGTTGCAAAAGCACAAGTTACCTTTGCAGAATTTGCAGGGCATGGGTACAGATAACGCTGCTGCAATGGTAGGTGTGAACAACGGCGTTTTCGCGTTATTGAAATCGGAAATTCCGCACCTACGGCTGGTGCGTTGTGTGTGCCATTCCTTACAGTTGGCTCTTTCGAAATCTACCGAGAAAACATTGCCACCAGAAATCGACTTTTTAATAAGAGAAACTTATAACTGGTTTCAATCGTCAGTTCGACAGATTGCATATGTGAACGTCTACAAAACTCTCAATAACGATGAAACGCCTTTGAAGATTCTCAGAATGAGCGACACACGGTGGATTTCAATTGAGCCAGCTGTCAAACGAATACTTGATCAATGGGAGACCCTGAAAGATCATTTCAATATTGTGCGCCTGACGGATCATTCTGCGGATATGTTATATCAGCTATATTCAAAGTCAGCCAATTTAGTATACCTTAATTTTCTATACCCGATACTTACAATGGTACAAAAAACTAACAAGCACTTTGAATCACAAACTGCAGACCCTACGAAGCTTCTCAATGATTTAAAGCAATTGTACTCAACCGTAATAAACCTCGTTGTTAATCCAATGCATCGTGTGGATATTTTCGACGAGCAATTCAATATTGAGAGATTCTTAAGCCCCAATATCTACCTTGGATTCGCATTTGAGAATGCTTGTACCGTACACAAAATCGGTGCTTCAGAAAAGACTGAGATCCAGAGCAAATGCGTTGCATTCCTTATCAACCTAGCGAAGGAGCTAAAAAATCGACTACCTGATAATGTCAATATTTTAAGTTCAATGAATATGCTTTCTGTTCAAGAAGCGAGAAAGCCATTAAAGATGTCAATTTCTGAGTTGGCCTCTCAGTTTGTCAGTGACAATTTTGAAATTAATAATATCGAAAATGCGTGGATGCAGTTACACACTATTCCTTGGGAGAACAAAGAAAACACTGAATTATTTTGGTTAGAAGTAGCGAAATATAGAAATGCCAGTGATGAAAATCCTTTCCAACCTCTTGTGAATCTTGCGTTTGCGGTACTCTGTCTGCCACATTCAAACGCAGATGTTGAGAGACTTTTTAGTCAGATGAACGTCATTAAAAGCAAGTTGCGAAACCGGATGCTGCTTGATCTGCTAGACAGCATACTTCATATTAGGTTTGGTTTGAAGAGGATTGGCAAATGTTGTCAGAGTTATACGTTGCCTGATGAAGTTTGCAAGCAAATTGGCACTAACGAGTCATATTCAAAACATCATGAAGATGATGTTGATGTAAATGAACTACTAAGCGATGACTGATAATTGAGTTAAGTGATATTAAACCATAAGCTATGACCTGTGAAATACCTATACATTTTGTTCCTTGTTTTTAATCTCTTTTATTGTAAGACTTGCAATAGGTATACTTATCTAATACATACGCAATAATTAAAATAATGTAATCGATGCTACAAATAGTTAAGTGAATTCTGTTGTATTACCACAATATTTTATGTATATGCGTTAAGTTTTGTTTTATCACGGAGGATGATCAACATTTTGCTTTTTGTCTCTTTACATTAACTTGTGTATTACAATTCAATGTGAGAATAATGTAAGCAAAGAGGTAGGTGGGGTTGTGCATCTCTTCAGAAATCTATATTTATGTATAAACCACATTTATTTTTTGTTTTATGGTTTGTAGTTTGTAGATGTTTAAAATAAACTGAGTTATCAATAAAAATGTGTCCTATTTGCTGTAGTAGGTAAGTAGTCCTATTATGTTATGAAAGAAACAAGATACGAAGAATCGCATACGATTTTCAGTAGGTGAATTTTTTGCCAGCTCGCATCCGGAAACGCGACTTTTAATTCGGCTCATATTCAATAGCACTGATGCTTGAACTTGTAGAAATCGATTGGTAAAGGTTTGACATCGCTGTCTCTTTTCGTTCTCGAGTTATACGAGGAACAGACGGACGCACAAAGCCGTCATAAGGGAAATTTTTTTTCTTTCGAAAAATTCCGCTAAACAGTAATGATGTGATTTTAGGGAATTTGTCCAATGTTGAACGTTTGGTTGCAAACTTATTTAATAATAAAATTGGTGATTTTGTTGTGAAAAGTCACTAGAAATCACTAGATTTTGGAGAAAAAAATCACCAAAAAAAAAATTTTCGCCTGCGGCGGGCTTTTCCGCCACCTAGTGACTTCTGGTGAATTCCAGGCGGCCATTCTCAGATTTCTGTCATTTACTACTTGCCAACACTGGCACTGAGACTCTGAACAGACTCGTCAAAGAACTTGAAGAAAATGTCTAGGGGGGGGATTGGTCTTCTAATTCATTTCTGAGGTTTTCAAGTTTTGTTTGCGCATTTGAACTGGTTTGGTCTCTATGCATTGGTATCTTGTCTTTCCATTTTTCATTGCTACAATACAAACATGAAGGGAGTAATCCGAGGGGGAAATCGCAGATAAAATTTTGTACACCGGACATCCATTTGGTGTGGAAATCCATGGATATCCACCGGACATCTGTGGACATCCTCGGAAATCCTCTGGATATACTTGGACATCCACGGATCTCCACGGACATCCTTGGAAATCCACTGGATATCCTTGGACATCCACGGATCTCCACGGACATCCTCGGATCTCCATGGATATCCATAGACATCTGACATAGGTGTCTAATTTTGAAAGGTTATTTAATGGCAATTTTGTTTGTACAATGACACGAGAAAACTATTTCAGCCGACTCATAACATGCATTTGTAAGATAGTGTTTAAATTGACGTTATCGTAGCTAGGGAAAAAGTTGTTTTGCTAAAACAGTATTAAAGAATATCATTACATTTCAACATTATACCGCCCTAAATATCGGCTGGAGATTAAAAAGTAATATAATTCGGTTAAGAGTGGTAAACCCATAAACTTTTGCAAAATAATCTATTTTCTTACAGTAGATAAACTACTTAATTGAAAATATTGTTTCAGTATGCGAAAATGTCTGTTATACCTTGCAAAAATAAAAGATGTGGATATGAACTGAATGTAACTTAATATATTAATTATACTTACTGTACTTATCTGTACTTTCTACTTCCTGAAATTAAGAGATAACATGTCTGATTAAATAAATAACTGTAATTGTTTCCCATCCCATATGAAACCGTTAGCGCCTGCCTAATATGGGTGCACTTTTTTTGCATGTCTGCTTTATTTATTAACCGATTTTAACCAATTTTTTTTAATAATCACAATTCATATGGGCTAATTATAGGAAGTTTTGCATTCGATACCTTCAGTGACAACGATAATAACTGTTAATAAAAATGTGCACCACTCGGAAGCGCCGAGCACACAAAACGTTTTAAGATTCTTGTCGTCACTGAAGGTATCGAATTCAAAACTTGCTAATATTAGCCCATATGAAGTGTGATTATTTTTTTAAAAAATTGTTAAAATCGGTTCATAAATAAATCAGTGGTGTACAAAAGTCCGCTCATGTTATACGTATAGGCGCTATCAATGCAGCTGGTTTCCTGTCTAGCAGCGACGACCACACTTGAGAGCCCCGTAAAAACCTCTTGTCGGACCACCTTACCTTCTTTATTATACATCCGTGAATCGGACTTAAATACACTAGATGTCGAGCTGTCGGTTCTCTGTATTCATCAAGATACAGGGTGTTACACGAGCAGGTACATATAAGTATGCAAAAAATCGTGATACGAATGCACCAAAACAGGCACCTTGTCTAAAGTGCTTCGTTTGGGAACCACTCCCAAAAAAGTAGTTAAATTTGCGTTTCTGTGTTCTATTTTCTTAGCAACAAAAGTTACAAAGTCAGGTAGCATGTCTTTGAATTCTGGAGTATGCTTTCGAAATGCAATTTTTTTGAAAAATCCTATCAAAAAAAAATTCTGATGTCGACGAAATTTTGGAGGTTTTTGAACATGAAACTCACGAATCTGAAATTACTGTTTGAAAAGTCGAAAAAAAGTTCCCCGGCAATTCTTGGACGCCAAACGAAAATGGAGAGAATTTCACAAAATTTGTTGTGTACCTACTTGGTAATTTAAGAAACAAAATTGTCAAACAGTTTTTTAGGTTTTTTTTTAGAATGAAAGGACCAGTATTCAAAAATTATTCTTAAGGTTCCTTTTTTTAATTTAATGTTCCTCACTAAGTAAAGTACGAGGTAAAATATTGTTCATAAATTCTGAAATATCCATAAAGAAATGGGGAATTGATATCTCGATTCATATAAGAATAAACTAGGTGAAAGATTAAGAATTGCTCGTGACGTGAATAAACTGAAATTTTCTCCAAAATTTGTGAAAGAAACGAATCTACCTTCTTCCTATTTGAGGTTCCTGAAATCCTATTTTGAATGTCTAATGCTTTAGTGTAATATATTAAATATATTTAATTAATAATTTGCAAATTTTGAAAGGATTGCTTACTCGATTGCACGGTTGTAACTATTTTTTAAAAAATCTGTGCATTTCCGCAATATTTAAACTTTTTACGCCGATGATTTAATCTTGAAACCGCTTGAACACTATGCATTTGTTCGACGGGGTTCCATGAAATTTAAAGTAAAAGGAAAGGCGAACTATCATGATGACATCAATTCAAACTCGCGTTTAACCGAAATATAGGCCAGAGTGATGGACAAAAATAAATCATGCTGTATTTGTGCGAAAAGGATACCGGGTCAATGAGCGAGCTTGTACATTGTTTTATTTACACGAAACAATTACAGCATTCATTGAATCCGAGTTGAAATCATTCTGAGCCAGTGTCAACTACGCAATTTAGAAAACTCAATGAAGGTTTTATAAGCATATTTGTACATTTCCCTGGACCTAAATTTTTAGCCGAACCGAAACCGAGTTCGAAACGCTTTCAGCCCCCTTTGGTGTTTATGTTTCTACTGTACTCCCTTAATTTTAAAGATATCGGTTTCTTTCCAATTTAGTTTCTTGATTTGGGTAGAATAACGGGAGCAGGAAATGCACGATCGTCATCCGCAGAGACTGTAATACGAGCTGTAATATCTACTTTAAATTTTCACACCCAGCAACAATAAAATGAGGGACCCCGCGAGGAACAATGTCAAGGAAGCATTTGAGGACCAATGCGTATTATATTCGTATTTTTAGAACAGTTATGTTATTTCATTTTAATTTTTGAAAACGTGTTTTTTTTTATATAAACCCGAAAGCCAAACCAGAATCTTGACCAGAATAATTATTGGGTAAGAAAGCAAACGTTTAGAAAAAAATACATAGGGCCGTGACGTTGCGCTTCATATAATTTATATCAAGTAAGCATTACTGTGGTAGGCAGTTGAAGAAATCTGCACTTTAATGTGCTGGGTGGAAGGTTACGTGCTGCACATTAATAACAGAACTTTACAGCAGTAATAACGGATGGAAAAAGATTGTAATTACTTACCTCATCTGTATTCTCTCCCATAAACAAAAAATAACATCACTGGTAAACAAATTAGAACACACCGCAAGTCCTCTTTCAAGCACGCAAGTCACACGAGTTTACACATGCTAATTATACTCGACCGTGTGGACATCCTCGAATATCTGCGGATATCCACCGGATCTACACGGATATCCACCGGATCTCCTCGGATATCCACGGATATCTACGGACATCCTTGGATATCCACCGGATCTCCTCGGATATCCACGGACATCCACCACTTTGTACACTGGATATCCACTGCGATTTCCCCCTCGGAGTAATCAATCATACCCATAAACAATATGCAGTCTCCTAGAATATGGTATTTATGATTGGGGAAATAGACATTTGGTCTAAATTGTTCGAGATGCTTAAAGAAGCTACTGTTTTGAAATACCTAAAATCATACAGGTGGTTAACAAAATAATACTCGTGAACTTATTTACCCTTGAATCGTGTGCCTAACCATGAAAGCCAACAAATATATTTGTTAAAATGCCATTGACATTACATATTCCCTCTATCTGTAATATTATAGAATGTGACTGTTTTCTGTTTAAATAACTAATTTGGTGTTCTTCAGAAACTTTACATGGTGTTACATCAGTGGCGTAACAAGACAGCTCGGGGCCTCGGGGCAAACGGTCCTCGGGTCACCTATAGGGAACGTGGGGAGGGTTGATACCCGTTTTCTGGAACACATTTTTCATATGAAAATAATGCATTAAAAATTATGAAATTTGGCATAAACATAGAATAATACTTCGAAATCATTCTATATGAATATCATAGCATATATTCAATATAAAACCTGTCAAATCTGTATTTTTTTTATTTTTATCTTTGTATCAAAGCTCCCTATACATGGGAGGTATGATACGGGTATAAGAGAGGATTGATACAACATTCTGAAAATACAGTTTTGTTGCCATTTTTGTTATACCTAACATTTCAATTAACGTTGTCGAACTTTGTAAAGTTGATGGGAAAACTTAACTTGCGGTTGACTCTTGCAGTACCTCCTACACTGCACGGATGAGGCAATTTTACAGCATTATCAGCAGGTACCATCGAAACATCTTCAACGGCTGGGAAAACGAAATGGGAACCGGGTTGCGAACGCCTCATGAAGTTAACAAGGTAGTCCCCATTCGGTT